GGTGACGAATGGGTTGCAGCCCTCAGGTTCTCCAGCATAGCGTTCTGGGGTTCCCACAGGGGGCTCGTGTGCTGGAGCAGGCGTCGGAGGGGCAGGAGGCGAAGCTGAGACTACATGCTGGGTCAGGGCTGCCGTTAGTTGTTGGACCTGAGTGGCTAACGCAGCCATAGCCTGCTCCTGTGCTGCTGCTGACTGACGTGTCTCAGTGGCGATGTAGGTCATCAGTGCCTCATGCTGCTGGAGAGCCCCCTCGATCCTCTCGAAACGGCTCACTGGTGCAGGGGTGTGTGCTGGGTCCATGACTGGCCAGATTGTAATGTAACGGGTTGTATATGGACCCAAATGCAACACAGGATTCCAGAGATCTTTGGCTTTTATTGCTAACTTCAAATATAGCAGGCAGAGTTCAAACAGGGTCAGGATCAGAAGGCTGGTGGGTTTACCGGGAGTCAGGCAGGATCGGGAACAGGAGAGCAGTCCGTTAGAGTGTGCTGGAGAGTCTGGCATAGAACCGAAGAACAATCTGGCAAATGTGTCTGGGAGGCAGGAGTCTATATAGGGGCTTGATTACTGATCAGAGGCAGGTGATTGAACAGGTGAAGGGAGTTTAGACTAATGAGGAGGGAGTGACTGACAATAAGAGTTAGGAGGGTGTGGAGCTGAACTGTGACATTAGGTTTAGACACCTTGATGTCTTTGCTGTATTTGACATATTGAAACATTGGATCTGCTACCCACCCTGGATGAGTATCCAGTTTTGCATGGGAATTGTTTCATTCCAAACATCAGCGGTCAAGTGATGTGGAAAGAAGCCATAATACTCATATCCTGACGACACTCAACTATTCCTTCTTCTAAAGCTCACGTCTCTTGAAGCTCAATGCAGTCCAGACATACTTCATACTGTCATTTAAAAGCTACACTTCACTGAGCTCTCCATCTCAATGGAGGACAACATGGTGTCATCCTCGATCCTGCAAGGCACACTTGGTGTCATGATGAAGGATCGCCTGATACTCTCAGATCAAACGCCAGCTCATTCAACCATACTCACCCAAGATGCAGCTCAGATGCAGTGCATTTTGGGATAGTTAGCAGAAAGTAGTGTACATGCCATGGGCATTACTTTTTCGTTACTATGTGGAAGTTCTGAGTGGATAATGGTTCGAATTTTCATGTGGACGCTCAAATAAAACGACGGACAGTAAATATAGTGCACCACAGAGGGAGTCATTTCGGATACAGCCCATGTGTGAAGTCAAATATGTGGCCTGTTTTCCACATCACCTTTTCACTCTTAACAGCTGATATATTAGTGAGCTAATGTTATTTTTTATCAGTTGGTTTGATTATGCCACAGTTGTACCAGATTGTAACTATTTAGTAGACTATGTCTCTGCATAAGAAATAACCATCTCTGCTTTTGTTATGTGCAACCCATTTAAATTAGTGAAGACTTAAGTCATAGCTGTGCTAAATTTTTAATTTGCACACAAGCTAGCTGCAACCGGCTCCCCGCCTCTTCAACAGTCCCACATACCTCATGTTTTTGGACCGACGCTCCTTTATCTCCACCGTGAAATTTAGCAAACTTGCTTCCTAAGAAGTGGACAGCTTGCTAGCTTAAAACATTAGCAACAGAGGTCTACAAAAATAAAAAACACCACAGGAAGAGATTGTGATGAATAGATGTTTGACAATGGCATTCAACTAAGGTTTTATTATATTTGCAACAGAGATTAAAATGTATCAATGTGATAAACTTGTCGCCTGCCAGAACGTGTACCGAGACAAAGGTTTGTCGGTAGATTCTGCTCGTCGAAAAGTTTTGAGTCTCGACAACAACATGCCCAATCAGCCACGTTAGCTAATTGGAGGTGCTCAGCAGCCAGCACTAGGAAATATTGAGACATATTACTGTCATCTTTCCCAGGATAGATGGATCCTGTCAATACCTTAAAAGTTCCTCTGTGGAAATGAGTATTTACTTCAAAGAGATCTCATCTAATGAAGTAATCACTGAACGCTTTGGCATCAGTCAGAAGCCTGATCAGCCCCAGGCGGACATATTATAGGGAAGTAAAAATATGCCAAATTAACCATTTAATAATACTTAAATACTGTATCTCGTTCTGCTGAGTTTTGACATGTGAAGTATCGGATTCCTGTCGTCAAAGTGAGTCAATCTTTCACGATCCTTTCCACCTCACAAAACGAGATAACCGCAGGCCAGGCTCCAGCTCGGGGCTCCGCGGTCATCTCATCAGGTTGTGTTTTGCTTTCTTGAAGCAGGCGGAGACGTATGATGAGGATTTCTGTTGAAAGAGCTGTTGAATTTCTCCCTCGTGTGTTAGGCAGCTTTCCCCTGGGGCGACCTCCCACGCTGAACAATGTTGACACATCATGGGCTCGCTGTATAACTTTGATTTCCCCCCTCTATCCTAAGAGTGTGAGCGTGCGCACACCCACTTACTCCTTCAGTCTATTCATCTATTCGACGGATTGAGTTCACTTTGGACTCCTTTTCACCGACATCCCCTCAATTACCTTTTCAGTCTCCTTTTTCGTCTTGTCTACCCCAAAAAGGTGGAATTCTTTGCCTGACTGCTCCATTACAATGCGCAATTATCATTGTTTTCATTTTTAAATATCGACCATCTTGGTCAGGATATAATTATAATTAGAATATCCTTTCCCACTTGCCAGTAATAAGTCACATTTGACGATTTCCCCTTCAGGTTTCAAACTTTTTCCAAGCCCAGAGTTGGTGCCGCTGGGTGCTTGGCATCGCAGCCATGGTGATGGATTTGAGGACCTTCTCAAAAACAACACGGCTTACCTTTAATCGTGGCAGTCCACTTAACACATTAGCACAATCAAATTTAATTGGGGAAATTGCTGAGCAAGAGGTGACATCAAAAGACGGAGGCAAAACAACCCAACGCATGCAATCACCCAGCATCCATTGCTGCCTCTGGACACGGCCGTGTGTCACGGTGGCTGCAGTGGAAAATGTGAATTGTTCACAATGCCTTGTAATGCAGAGAGAGGTCTTTGAGGCCTGCCACACTGCATCACCGTGCCCATTTGTCTGGGTGGTGTTTTTCAGGTTACTTAGGGGTCATGGAGCGTTTAGCATGTGACTCAGGAGCAGAGATGTTTATCCGCACCCGTGTGTTGGAGACGCAGTATGAAACAATGGGCAACGTTTATGGTTTTAAGAGCCAGATTCTCATATGTCACATTCTCCTTGCTTACATCAAGGTTAGGACGAGGTCAGACCAGACCTCTCGTTTGAGTTCCAGTTACTGTATAATGCTGTTCTTTGTAAATGTGTACAATGCACAGCACAGGGAAATTGTCACACCCAGTCTGTGACTCTTCATAACTGTCGGTGAGTTTAAGGGCAGACTGGAGTCTAAGGTTGTTACAATGTTCTGAATGCAGAGATGATGTTGAGTAAGACACAGTTAGGTTTATCTTTAAACAGTATGATGGATCTAAATTCTAAATTCTAAATTTCATACTGAACCAATACGGTAAAGTTACTGGCCAACCCAGACAATTAGCAGAAAGATGCCCTGATGGCCTGAATGGAACTGTGGAGTTTGGCAGTGTGGCAGTATAGAACAGGCAATAAACGGTGCTTTGAGAAAGTGCAAGTCACCACAAATGTGAGAGTACAATGCGAGATTAGCTGTGGACGGACACAGAGGTGCACACTCACTCACGGACGCAGGCACGCACACATAGCGACTGATCACACGATCTTCCTGGCGTAGCTAACAACAAAAGCCAACCAGCAAATGGGTGGTGCTCTCCTCTCTTTTAAAAAAAAATCATGCCTTTTGTTTTTGCAGTACAACACAACACTTGGCTTTGTTAAAGGTGGCTCAATTCCAGCATATTAATCTATGGTGAAGTACCAGAGAAAAAGTTCATAATACTCTGTTAGCACTTAATAAAATGTACCCTGGTGTGTGCAGTCACGCACCCATGAGGTTATAACAACACAATGCGAGTGCGAACAATCCCGGCTTGTATGCTGAATGCACGATGAAAAGGGTCATCCACACCCTCCGACTCAAACAACGAACATGTATTAAACATGATGCAGGTCTTGCATACTGAACCCTTGGCTTACAAGACGTAAACTGCATGAATGCAAATGATTTGACGGTATTTTTTTACTGTGGATTAGACCAATAACTTTTCTCTCACTGTAGATACTCAACATATGGTTGCATGATTGCATGAAATTACTTGAGCACAAGAGGAAGACGGCGATGTCAGCAGACGAGACCGGTGGAGAAAATCCACCTCTGCCTCGTCTTTCACTCATCAGTCATCGCCGTGTGCAGTGACCTAAGCAGAGGCTGCAGAGGTCAAGACCGCGCTGTCCATCTCCGTTACCCTGTTCATGAATAAACAGAGGCCAGTGTATGGGTGTGCGTGTCCGTCAGGGCGATTACGTACACACACACACACACAAGCGCTCATACAGCCTCGTGCCGACTCCACTGGCATAATTAGAAACATTTGGGATCATTTGCAAAGGGAACACGAGCTCTGATGGGATCCAGATGCACTACTGGGTTTCACCGAAATATAGGAACCCTTATTTACGAGGGGCCATTACTGGCTCCTCACCCAGGGAGGTGTGTGTGTGTGTGTGTGTGTGTGTGTGTGTGTACTGCCCTGTTCGTCCAGATACTAAATGAGTTGTGTTGTTGGTGGATCATCCATATTCAGGTCAGACTCAGTTTAAGGGCTTTTGTTTTTCGTGGGAAAACGAGTGTTTGTATTCATGGTATACCTGAACACATAATAATGTGAGCCTTAATGAACTCCAGGAGACTCAAAAGCAGAAGAAGTTGCCAACACACAGAAAAGTGAATTCCTTTTAATGGTGGAGAAAGGACCTTTCACAGGTAAAGATGCAACATATTTTCCATATCTGTGGACTTTTTGTGTCCTCAACAACATTTACACCAACAATTATTTTACAATCGGTTTTAGTTGTCTTCTTCTTCTTTAGCGTCAACAAAATGCCCCTTCTGGACTTCCTATGAAGGAGAAAAAAAAAAATCACACTATTACTTTGTTTCCAAGAAATGCTGTTAATTAATTGAGACGTGAGGCTCTGATCTTAATATTTTGGCATTAGAGGCTTTTATTTTTGTGGCTCTGCTAACTTTTTTATTTTAAGCATTAATATTGCAGACATGTACTCAACACAACATACGTCATTCTTCACCATACAGTTTGACAGTTTCATTACTTTTGTTAGTGTTTATAAGTTTGAGAGTCTTAATAAAAATCTGGGTAAATATCGTTTACTTACTTTGTTTAATTTACTATATATAATCAATACGTTTATAATAAATTAAATGTTATATAATGCACTGGTGATTGCCATTTGCCATACAAAGAAGGCAAATGTTGTCATTTTTAGCACTATGCTTCCACCTTCTGGTTCAGAGATGAACTGGTAAAAACAGATTAAGGTTGCTTTTACAGCATGCAATTATAGATCAAACCACAGTTATGAGCAGAGGTTATTTGACCTGAAATGGTGCATGGGTGTTTAATCAAAAATGCTTATGTTTGGATATAATTGACAAATCAAATTTGGAAAATTAACAGAAATGAACGGACATCTGGAAAAGTACTCAAAACCTCCTCTGTGGTAGTTCCCACAATAGGTATCTCCAGGAAACATTTTGCCATTATGACACAAAATATCAACTTCACTGGTAATAAACATGCACATATTTAAAAATCTTAATAATGTCATCATGGCTCCCCAATTATCCAGTTACTCACATTTTTATTTAACTATTGCTTCTACAAATCCATTCACATAAGGCCTCAAAAACTCTCCGCTCCCCTGCTACGTCAGTGTTTCTTCAGCGCGCCTGGAAAACAGAGAAAACAAAACCTCACTGTTAGTCAGAAGCTCAAGACAAAGCAAACAGCAAGCACGGTGAAGCACCGTCTCATGTTCCGTCATGTCACACTGAGTTGCACTATGTCATGTCACAGCACGTTGTGTAAGATATCACAGTGCGCTATGTTGTTTCATGATTGGTTCAGTTGATTTTAGTTTCCCGGCTCCGGTGTTTGAGGTGATTGAAAACATCAGTTTCTCCCTCTGAACTAACGTGCGCCCATTTAGACAGACTAACCAGAGTCTTTGTGAAAATACAATACGATATGACAACCCTCAATTAATAAAACATGCTGTGTCAAATCACATCACGTCGCGTCACACTGCGGAACATCACTGACCTTTCAGCAGCGTTTAATGCACTGATCCAAACACACGTATCGTTCATTCTTTCCTCGGTCTCCATCGCCACTTCCTGACTGAATAGGAAGCACAGTGTTGCTTCTGAACATCCCTGGATGCTGGTGCTGTATGACACTGTGACATCACTCATGTGTCAGTAAACTGATCAATGGAAGGAAGGATCCCTGCAGAAAACAGACAAATGGGTGAGGAAATGATGTGGGTTGTTAGCCAGTGGGTAAATTACTGTACAGGCTGACCAGGCACATGGCCAACAGCCCAATGTGTGAGGGGCCCTCTTAGCCTTCACCTCCAAAATGTCACTCAAAGAGACTCAAAAGAAAAAGAAACAAAAAAACGACCACAAAAAGAAACAAAGAGACTATAAGAAGACAAACAGGAGCAAAATAACTACCAAGAGACATCAAATGACCTCAAAGAGACACAAAGCAACTACAAAGAGACTCAAAATGACTACAAAGAGACACAAAACAACTTCAAAGGGACCAGAATGACCACAAAGAGAGACTAAAGAGACTCACAACGGCTACAAAAAGGGGCCAAACAACCATTGATAACTACAAAAATAACTGCAAATAACTACAAAATACCCAAACAATTACAGAGACACAAAATGACCAGAAAGAGACTCACAACAACTAAGAAAAGGAGCAAAGCAACCAAAAAGAGACACAAAACAGCAACAAAAAAAGGCTGAACAACTAAAAAGTAATTGTGTCCTACTTGTGTAGGAAATGTGGTGGGGCTTTTTGCGTGTCTGTGTCCAGAAGCCCATTATCTTATAATCCGCCCATGGTGCCAGCGTGTACATGCACATGTTTGAATGTGTGTGTGTGTGTGTGTGTACCTGGAGCAGGCCGACTGAGAGTCAGTCGAACCTCAAGCGGTGAAGTCTTGAACAGCTTTAGCACCTTCTACAGACAGAAGAGAGAACTGTTAACAGCAATACCACTCTTTGAAAATGCTCCATAACAAGTACAAGTCCCGCATTTAAATCCCTAATTAAGTAAAAGTATGTTAGTATATTCAGCACTAACCGAAATGATTCAAAGTAAAAGAAGGCATTGTGCAGTTCAATGGTCCCGGTCAGTGTTTTACTATTTTGATGCCTCTGGATTAATATTACTTCTGCATTAAAAGCAATATTTTATTGTTGTAGATGTTTAAGGTTGTGTTAATATTAACTACTTTATATACTGTTGGGTAGTTTAATCTACAGCAATGCATCGTAGTCTATAAGACCAGTAGAACTTTGCTGTCTTGTTAAACAGACCTCGTATTTCTAAAAAGTCAAGGCCTCAGAAAACAGCCCTGTGTTCAGCTTTGTGACGATGCATTTTCCAGTTTATGCAAGACAGTTTTAAAATAGTTTACATAGCTTAAGAAGTATGATAATTCTATCAACACATCCTCCTGCTGTTGATCAGAAAAGTAATCATATTCAAAATCCCAAAATCTGGAGATACATGGTTTTCACTGGAATGGAGGGGAATCAAAAATTCCAATCTGAAAAGAAACTTAATGTGTCCGACAAATGTAGTGGAGTAAAAAGTATTTGCCTTTGAGATGTAGAAGTATGAAGTAGAATAAAATGGAAATACTCAAGTAAATGTACATGTACCTCAGATTTCTACTTAAGTACAGTACTTGAGTAAACACACCATCTTCATTCCAAGTGATAGCTAAAAAGTTCACTATCAGTATCTCCTCAATGTTCAGATTTTGCTCAAAACAAGATTTAAACCATCATGAGAGCAAAACAACCCACAATAGTTGATAAAAGTAGAAATGATATATTTCCATGTATGTACTGATGAATTATATATATATATACACCGCAACAGCATCATGTCTGTCATATTAGAGCGGGACAACAATATCTAATTTGATAAAATGAGCGACTCAGTTGAACTCTTTTACAGTCATGTGTCAAACTGATACATCATCGTGCAAATAATAACAAGTCAATTTAAGAAAAGTCCATTATGTAAAAGCCAATCAATGATTACTAATGAGATTAGCTGCACCTCAGTCACCAGTCCGTCAAGCTCCTGAAGTTCGCGGATGACACCACCCGCATTGGACTCATCTCTGGTGGGGATGAGTCCGCTTACAGGTGGGAGACTGACCATCTGGTGACCTGGTGCGGGTTGAACAACTTAGAGCTCAACGCTCTAAAGCCAATGGAGATGGTTGTGGATTTCCGGAAGAATGCAGCCCCACCAGCCCCTATCACCCTGTGTGACTCCCCCGTCGACGCGGTGGAGTCCTTCTGCTTCCTGGGCTCCATCATATCCCAGGACCTCAAGTGGGAGCTTAACATCAGCTCCATCACAAAGAAGGCTCAGCAGAGGATGTACTTCCTGAGGCAGCTGAAGAAATTCAACCTGCCAAAGACAATGAAGGTGCACTTCTACACTGCCATCATTGAGTCCATCCTCTGCTCCTCCACCACAGTCTGGTACGCTGCAGCCACTGCCAAGGACAAGGGCAGGCTGCAGCGCATCATTCACTCTGCCGAGAGGGTGACTGGCTGCAATCTGCCGTCCCTCCAGGACTTGTTCACTTCAAGAACCCTGAAGCGAGCAAGAAAGATTGTAGCCGACCCCTCTCACCCTGGACAAAAATTGTTCATGCCTCTTCCATCTGGTAGGAGGCTGAGGTCCATCAGGATCAAGACCTCACGACACATGAACAGTTTCTTCCCGTCGGCAGTCGGGCTCATTAACAGAGCCCGGGTCCCCCACTGACTGTCATCCCCAGGACAATTTCCTACCGGTCACTCCCCTGCACATACCTTTTAATACACTTGACACTTCTACACTACACTTAGATCTCACTTGTTTACAGTCCTGTTATCTGTTCGTTTGTGCACTTTATTTTATATTCCACTTTATTTTATATTTTACTTTATTTTATATTTTTCTGTAAATTTTATAATGTTTCTACTTTGCACTGTTGATTGTTGTTGATTGTTGTTAAATGTTATACACCTTCCGTCATGTCAAATTCCTTGTATGTTCATCATACCATGGCAATAATTCTGATTAATAAGGACAAACGAATAGACTTCATTTCAAATCTGCACATACTGAATAGGACAGCTCCTTGAGTGACTGGCCATTGATTGCCAACAGGACGTCTCCCTCCAGGATCCTGCCGCTCTGCTGGGCTGGCTGGCCGGGGAAAAGCTGCTTTATTCGGACCAGGCTGCCAAAGTCCCGAGTTGGCGGATCCAGCTCGCACATTAGGAAGCTGAAGCCCAGGCCGTTGGCACTCTTAGTCAGCGTCACTTCCTGGGTGTTGTCTGAGGGTTTGGGTTTGGGGTTGGGAGGACGGAGGATGGAGGACGGAGGCAGTTATAGGATAATGAGGAGGGCAAACAGTGTACGTGTATGGAGGTCAGGAGTTTAAGGGAACAGGAAAGAGAAGGTGGACGGGAGAGGTGGAGGTATGGAAAGAAAAAAAGCTGATTAGATGATATTTATTTTAATCAATTTTGCCGCGATTTAAACTTTAAATCAAACTAAAATGCAAAAATAAAAGCAAAATTGATATTCAGTGTCTATTCGCGGACCTTGTCCCGCCCCACAAAGATGCTCCAAAACTGGGAGTTGGAAGATATTAACGATATTAACTTTTCACAGGGAAATGAAGCCAACAGGTGGAGGCTACATGGTGGTAGGTGGGTCTTGTGAAACGCTTATGAACAACAGCAGCAATGGTCACAAGTGACTGCAGCAGTTACCAGCTTTGTGTTGGGGAGAGCAATCCAGCAGCAGGCATGACGAAGCTAAAGAGAGAGCAGAGCACTGATGGCTTACGCTGCCATGTCATCCATGAGAAGCACATTTCAGCAGACTCAAGTTGTCTGCCTGAACTAGCTTGAAGGCAGGACGCTATGTCATTATTTTCTTTTTTTTTAAATACATTTAGGGACTTTCACTCCTTTAACACCAATAGAGGAAATATTCTTATTCACTTTCTTGCTTAATATTACAAAATCATTACCTCTCACATATTTATCTAGTAAATTTAAGGTAGAGCCCGTAGCTGGTTAGCATAAAGACAGGGGACAGCTAGCTCTGTTCAAAGTAAAGAATATCAGCCAACCGGTAAAACCCGCAAAACTGCAACCTTTAGGTTTTTGTGTGGATTAAACAAATGAGATGTAATGTAATAAGTGAGTTTTAGAGGTGTTGGTGAGCAGATTTTGTTACCTTTTGACACAGCCAGGCTAGCTGTCTCCCCCATTTCATGTCTTGGTGCTAAGTAAAGCTAACTAGCTGTTGGTTGTAGTCGTATATTTATCAGAGAGATATAAAAGTAGTATTGATCTTTCCAGTTAACTGTCAAAAAGAACACGAATAAACGTATTTCCCAAAATGTCGTTCTGTTCCTTTAATCTGCCTTTTTGCAGTAGTTGGCCTGTAAGGGAGTTTTGTTTTTTTTATCACATAAGAGACAAAGGTTGGTTAGCCAAAAGAGTGGGTCAACTCAAGATATAGCCAAAAGAGATTCTCTTCATCACGGAATCATTATTTTGTCAAAACAGGAAATCAAAGCTTGTTATATCAAGAAATTTAAAAATAAAATCACATTCATGATAAATAAATCTTTACTTGCATGTCCTCTTCATCATTCTGTAGACATGATGAAAGGCAACAGTAAAATCAATTATCAATTTATTATTGATATATAACTTTTTTAATTCAGATATATTTTTCAGTAACAGATACATACATTAATTAATACGCAACAACACAACAACCAAAATGGTTAGGATTGACATTGTGACAGTTTAGGTGTCATCAGACGTTGGCCTTTTTGGCCTCACGCGTCTTGTGTTGTGTGCTAAGACCATATAATTACTCTGTATTATGTAAACAAATGTGTGATCTGCCTGCTTGTGTTAAGAGGAAAGAGGATACACGTGACATATATAGGAGGACAGGCCAAAGGATAAAGGAGGCCAGGGGGATAAGAAGGGGAAAGTCAGTAAGGAAGATCAGGATGAAGAGAAGGAAGTGTGTGAAGGTTCACCTTCAAGCAGCCAGACTAGCGTGATTGCTATTAAAAACACGAAACAGCTTAGAGTCAACAGGCTTTCTCACGCAGGCTCTTCCTCAGTAGTGTTAGGTTTTTTTGAAGGAACTGGGGGGAACCTGCAGACCGATCTATTGGCAAAATTGCATTCATAATGGGAAGTTGGCAAGAGCCCCAAATGCTCTCAGCAAATATTTCTGACAAACTCCCAGAAAGAGATCTCTGGCTTTCTTAGTTTGTTAAGGCACCTATTGCGCACGTGAGGTCAAAGTCCATTGGTTTAAATCTAAACTGAGTTCCCCTACCTTCAGTGACGAAGCTGTAGTCCCTGGGCCGGACAAAGCTCACGTTTGGAGCAGTACAGACGGACGAGCAGCTGTTGATCCTCAGTGGGCTGGTGGCTGGGCTGATGCTCTGATTGGATACAATACTGATGGTATCTTCGCCAAAAGAAACCCTGGGTACGTGTGTCGACACCTTCTCCACAACCAAGGTTACCAGCTAGAGAAGAGGAGAGGGAAACATGAGAATCACTTGCAACAACTTTCTGCCCCGTCTCAGGAGCTGATTCTAAAAAAGAAGTCAGGTCGCAAGTATCCAAGTGGCAAAGTACAAAATGGGCTTGATGCATATATTTCGGTTGAGAAGGGTGAGTCAGCTAAACCAGAGGTCTTGTCAGAAGGGGCAAGCTCAGGCTCACAATGACAATGCTATCATTAGCAGGTATAATGATAGCATGCTAACACTTGCTAATTAGCACAAAACTCCAATTACAGCTGAAACCAAAGTTTTGGACAATTACAATTTGGACCTGATGAAGAGAGGAAACTGAAGGGATCGCCAATATGATTACAATTTATCCTGTTGGGACATGAATGCGCGTCTCACAGCCGTAAATGTGCGCATAAACTTTCGTGCCAATCCATCTTGTAGAGATAACGATCATCATCATCAGCGTATATAGATAAGCATTGGTCTCTAATGGGATTCCCACACTGACGTAATACAACATGAGTCACATGTCTTCCTTTACCTCCCCAGTTTTACTCAGATGCTCCACAGCCTGCCGGTAGGTGAAGCGCTGGAAGCTAACCCCATCCACCTCCAACAGTCTGTCCCCTGTAACGGAGAAGGTTTGAGACAAATAAACAAACAGATTCATTATTTTTTTCTCCTCTTCCTCCTAATTATTTACTCCTCACCTCTTGAAATCATCACCTGAATGCCAAAATGTACACACCAAATTTCCCAATCTTAATGAGTGATGAATTTCAGTGACACGGTGTTGTTTGCTCTCTGGGAGCTGTTATGGCTCTGGGGAAGAGGCTTTCTCACTATCAAATTCAAAGGAATCAACAAATGGCCTTGCTGGGTAAGCTTCACATGACTATAAATGGATTAAACACACCATTAATAAAGCAGTTTGTGGACATTTAGCTGCTGTACCTGAACGTACTCGTCCGTCTCTCTCAGCAGCCCCTTCCGGAACAAGGCTTCTTATGTAGATTCCTCCATTAGGAAGGTTAGTGTTGACACCACCCTGAATGGTTAGCGATGAAACTTTGATTTAGAACACAGATCTGTGATACACTGATGACGCTGCGGTGATCCGTGTGAGTGAGGTAACATGGACCAACTTCTCTCCCTCTGTAATGTTGTCACATGTTAATCAGACTGAGTACAGTAGATTTGTGACCCACTGCTGGAGATGAGTTGCTGTACTTATTTCACTGGCTGACTGCTCATTTTCTGATATTTACAGTATATACAGTATATTTTTTTACAGAAAACAGAAAGTTGTCCTCCCCCCCTGTGTGTTCTGCCTTTTTGTTGGTACTATTTGACATGTTGTCGATGTCATGGATAAACCATTTCAGCCCAGAGTGAGTTCTCTACGAATCGCATGTTTCATAAACTTACAGAGATGCTGATGCCCAGACTTCCTGATATCTTTCCGAGCTCCACAGTGATCTCCTCAGGCCTCATACAGTTCAGAGGGACGGACAGAGAGCAGCTGTCCTGAAACCAACACAGACAGAAACACTCACTTCAGTCCTGTATCTCTGTATGTCCGACTGCATACTCACCCACTGATCTCATCCATACAAATTATTGGCAGATATTTACAGTCACAAGTACAAAATCACCATCGCCAAATGAAGACAAAGACTTATGTAGGAAGTACAGTAAGTCATATTGCTGACATTAATTCTGCCTATATGGGGTCTAATAAGTTAGAGATTACTCTATGACCCTTTAAGGATTATAAATAAAGACACTGCCACAAAAAACACCTAAACTGTCTCCATGATTCTACCTGTGCACCGAGGTCTCGTCCTTCTCGGGGGACGTGAAGCCTGTTGCCGGTCTTCGGCGTCATCATGGCCGAAACAATCTCATCTAAGCTGTCGTCCCCCGATCGGACGTCCGTCATTATTGTGGTCTGAGACTCGTAATGCCGCAACACAGGAGAGTGCACATTGTTGGGACTGAGGCCCACTGTGGATAACATCAACAGAGTCAGTTAATGGTATACCTCAAAACACTAAAGTTTTTGAAACACGTTAAGAGGTGCTAACTATTCTTCTCAGTGCATTTTGTCTGAAAGCGTTCAATGAAATGGTCGTCATTGTGGAAAATACGCTGTCGGAATGGTGATTTTGTACACTGTCCTCCTTTGTAATAAGGCACCGAAAAGGTGTGTGTGTGTGTGGGGATGGGTTTTTTTCCAAAGCCATTTGACCATCTAACAAGCACCCTTGACAGGGTACACTGTCCCTTTAAGAAGTCGAGTAGCCAGTAAGCATAGCTTAGCAATATGGACTGAAGATGGGGGGAAACAGCTAGTTGTTACACCTAGTTTTTGTCTTTATGCTAAGCTGCTGCTGGCCTTAGCTTCATATTAAACATGAAGAAACAAAAGTATTGTAAATCCTCTCATCTAACTCCCGGCAAGAATGCAAAAAAGCACATTTGAAATGTATTTTTGTCAGGATAGTGCCACTATATTGGTTGTGATATAAGCAAAAACATTGTGTTATATGCTGTTTTGGCATCTGTAATGTAAAGAGATGACAGACGGAGAGAACACTTGGAATATGGTGTGTTTCACATCAGAAGGGTCTGAAGCTTTAACTGGGCAGTATGATGAGAGCTGGAGGATGGAATTTGTTTACACCTCTGCGAGCAAGATGAGTCAACAAAAACTGACATTTTGCACGAAGACAAACAAGTGGGATGATGATGTAACATTTTTAGAAAACACACTAAAATGTTCTACATATTATCGCATATAACAATAGAGGGCAACCCAACACACCCAGGGAGGCATGCCACAAAAAAGCCACTATGCTGCACAAAGAAGAGAAAGGACATAATTATCATTCTCACGTTGGTAATTCAGAACAGGTGCATTAGTGGAATAGGCCAATTACTAAAACGCCAACATTACACGCAAACAAAAGGAGGGCAAGCGTCACAGCCACAGTATCATTACACACACACACAGAGCACCTTTTGCCTGTGAGATTATGAGCTGCACCTCCTCGGGGCTGCTCTGCATCACATCTGCTGCCTTGCTGAAGGTGACGCCCTCCATGCTGATGTGGTTCAGAGAGATCAGACGACCACCTGCGGGTAAAGGTCACGGTGAAATGGTGCCGGTGTCCAGTATCAGTGGAGTCTGAAGACCTCCCCACCACCTCTGAACCCACGTGTGACCCCCAAAGGCCTGTGACCTTATCAAACAGACAACCTCCCATTCCCTCTCCGTCCTCCTTTAGCACTTTCCCCCGCTACACATTTCCCTGCATTCATTTCCTTAAAAACAGAGGACGATGCTGGATGATTTCAAAAGACGCCTATCATCCAGATAGTTGAACATATGTGAGGGGTCTGCACCAAAATGAGGTATCCACCATGGAACCTCACTAACACATTGAAGACAGTGTTGTTAAGAGGTAAAAATGTCCACGTGATCCTTTACCTGGTCGGATGCGTCCATCCTTATCGGCGGGTCCACCAGGCACAATGGAAGCAACAAAGATGCCCAAGTCATAGTGGCCCACGGTGTCCTCTCCCACTATCACTACACCTGCATGAACACAAACCACAGATATGTTGAGAGGAAAGAGAGAACCCTCCACCGGCTTTTCTGTAAGATTTGGACTCATTCATCACTTCACATAATTACTGTCAGAGTGTTTATATGATCTAACTGTGAAAATAATTGTAAGGGATGTAAGGGATGTCGTCCCCTTTGTTAGCAAAATTACCAAAATGAATGCCTTGTAAACCTGCCGTCCCCCTCTCCATCCTCTAGTAGCAGAGAGAGTGCAGGGGCAAAGGGGTAGTTTAGTTGAACGTTTAAGTATAGTCTGGCTGACTCATTGAGCCTTTGTCTGACTGAGGTTTGTGCAAGTTAGAATCTATGGGCTCTGACTGTGCAGTGTCTCGATAAATCCATGGCGCTGTCCGTGGTGCTGAAGCAGTGGACGACTTGTTGCATTGTTCATGGGATGGAGAGACGCTAGTCGGTGAATGAAACAAACCGGGTCCGCCCCCCCTGTTAACAATTAACAAATCGCCAGTGGTGGACTAGTCCATGCATCAACATCCTAACAAACTGATTTATGAGGGGTCATATCAATCTTCTCTGTTGTGTGATCAGCTTACCCAGGCCAAGCTTTGGGTCTTTCTTTAAGTTAACACATATGACTTCTCTCTCCGACGATGACCCAAGTTTCGTTGGGGTTTCTGTAAGACACAAAGCAGAGTAGCACGTAAAGAACAAGTTGAATTGACGTTGTTGATCGTGTTTGCAGGCCGTCAGGTAGAGACAACCAGCAGTGTGCTCGGCCGTACCTCTTGCTGCCGGGGAGTTGGATGGGGCTTCGGATCCGCTCCTCTGAGAACAGGCTGGGGAACGCATACCAGTGCTGCTGCGCTGACTGCTGGAGCAGGTGCTGCAGAAGAAACACAGAAAACCAATGTGTTAATAGTGATGGAGTCATTATGAAATTCTGTCCTCCGAGAACAGGAAGTGCTTTTTTTTTGTTGTGCTGCCAAAGTATGTTTGGAATAAGCAGAAGAAGAACTGAAATTAGCATGAGCTGCAAGATAACTAAGTACCTCGGCTCACTGAGGAGCTGCTGTTTAATGCGCGCCTCGATCCCGGCTGTGACGTCATCACACAGCTTGCTCAGGGACCCGTCCTGAGGCGTGGTCAGTCCGCTGTCATCCTGTGGCGTCTCCGAACAGGAGAAGGACTTGAGCCGGCTGCTCTGAGAGCGACACACTGCAGTGTACTGCACGATGTTCTCCTCTGGAGGTAAAGAAAACAAACATGGAAGGGCTAGTTAGTCTTTCCAGCGATGTCTTCTGAGATCCGCAGAAAAATGGCGACAACACTCGGCGAGTTCGACAACTCAAAAAGCTGGCTTCGGCAATTGTCACGGTGCAGCAAACTGACCTGAGACCAGGCTGTGGCTGAGCTGGCGGGAGCTCATCTCATTGTTGAACTTGTGTTGGGCTGAACAGAGGTCACACAGATATTTGGCTATCTTCGATCTCTCTGTGATAAAGATGTGCTTCTTTTTGCTGACACGGCTCTCTACCACAAATTTACGCCTCTGCAGGAACACGGAGGAAAGGTTTTTAGGGAAACCACGCACAGAAAAATAACGAATGTCACTACCAACCACATTTTTTTTTGGCAACAATCAAATCCCCATCGCTCCACTCACACTAGAGGAGATGGTTGCTGCCTCCCTCCAGTAGAAAGTCTGACCGGTAGATCGGCAGCCATCTTTAACCTCGAAGACGATGACTCCTTTGGCACAAACCCCCAGCATGACCTCTCCTTCTAAAGGCTTTTTTTCGCGAATCACGCGGTGGAACAAAACGCCGTATTCAGGCAACTGATGACACACCTTCAGGGACAAACAGAGAGTGGTAACTGTGCTTCATATGTTATTAATGGTACTCATAGTTGTACCACTAGATGTGAATTTCCACAATGAAATTTGACTATTTGCCCACCTTGAGGTACTCGATCTCGGATTCGTCGGGGAGCATCTGAGCGTAGTTGGTGTGAAGTCGTAGCAGCTCCCCCTGAATGTGAGGCAAGGCGCGTTTCTCCATCACGCTCTTGGAGACGTACTGGTCGGGGCGATAGTAGTTTCTACCGTACACCTACACACAATGGATCAAAACCTTTCATTGAGAGAAACTTGATCATTGCTTTCCAGTAATTATACCACACCATTGCAGAGACACTCACATTATATGTCAATGTTTAAAAATGCTGTTCAGTTGGTGGCACCTTTTAAAATATTAATTTTTATTGGATTCATTTGACATGTTTTGTTCAAATTCGTGGTGCACAACCTCCGGCATGCAGTCTCCGCACTCCATCTGCAGGGCCAGGGCTCCCAGGTACAGAGCTGTCTCCTCATGGCAGGACAGCCGGTCCTCCAAAAGGTCTCTCCGGAGCTGGAGGTAATACTGGTGGCGGGTCTGCTTGTGCCTGATAGAGAAGGCCGCACACATTTAAAGGATTCGACTTTACGAGACACATGTTTGTAGCTTTTTCTTTGTAGCAACACAAGAAAGAGCGATACTTACAAAAGAGAAATGTCATTGACAAAAAATTTGACCCTGAAAAAAAGGACAAAGGTGGTTGTAGGCACTTTCTTCCAGCTATCTGGAGCCACTTTGGAAATCTTGGTGTCATTGTCCACAAAGAAAAACTCATTATCTGACCAGAGAAAAGGGAAAAGAACACAAAGAAAATCATGAATTGTCAGAAATAATGTATAACTTCTGATCTACCTACACCACAGACAACGGGCATGTAACGTATCAACAAATGACACCACCTAAACAACCTCAAAATGCTCAAGTGTTCAGATAAACTGCTTCAAACATGCTACAATCAGACAAAAACAGAGCCCTTCAGAAAGACTCCCTCACTCATCCGCTTGAAACCTCTTTACCGTCAATATAAGCAAGGCCAAAGTAGAAATGTTCCATCATGTTGGAGTGAGCCACAATCATGTCAAAGACGTCCCCTCCTCTGGATTTCACCTCACACTTCACCAGGATGCTCTGGCCGTTTGGCATCAACACACTCAGCTCTCTCTGAGTGGTTGGAGATTTCCCTTTCTTTGACTACAAAAGGGAGAAAATTATTTATTTCAGAATTAGACTTTAAAAAAATCTGATTCAGGGTGAGAAATGATCCATGCAGATGCCCCCTTCACACCACTGTCAAACTCTCCAAACTCTCAACAGCGACTCTGTTTTCCAGAACTCACCAAAATGGATCCAGGCAGCTCCAAGACAACCAGCGGCTCATCTAACATTCTAATAAACTCAGGACCCATGTCCTGCAACAGAGGACGAATCATATAAAAAACAAGGTTTTGATGAAACATGTGACGATATATTATGTTATTACTACTATCATATTATGTAACATGATATGATAACCCGGCTCACCTTCACTTTCTTGTTGTTGAGACTCATCGTGGATCCGAATCGTGCGAGGGATCTTGAGATGGATCTGCGACCACCGTCCATGTACAGGGGCTGCTGCCAGCTGCCGTAACTCTCCCTGTGTTGGCTTCCCGAGGGGATCCTGGCAAAAATTAGTTTTCCATTCTCAGTCTAATCGGAGTCGAGATCTGTCACTTAGAACACGATGAACACGATGGCTTGAACATCACACACATTTCTTTTCCTTCTCCTCCGGGGGTTTTATCTTCCCAGCACTGTCTTTTTACTTTTTCATATTGCTTTTTATCATTGCAGCAACATGTCAAACTTGAATTTGGTTGGTTTTGAGGTAAACACCATATGTTTATACTGTGTTTTCTTACTGTGCCTTAAACCTCTAAATGGGACACTGACAATGTCCTCTATGCTAAAATGAAACCTCTGTTATAATGTGTGTAATGCTTCATACCCTGATGGCTCGCATGGATAAGATGCTCCGGAGAATGTTCTAGAAATCTTCCTGTTCAGCATCCATGTTGAGTTACTAAAAGAGTTTCCTGAAAAACAAATTGGTATGCAATACTTAGCATGTTGTCCACATACCAATATCATGGCTTTCACAATTAAGATGGAGCATTTTAGAGTTAGATAAGAAGATTGTTACAACCTTCCTGTCTGAGATTGGTATCAATCTTCTCATCTAACTTTGCAATAATAGTGAATATAAGCATATTTCCTAAAATGCTGAACTATTGCTTTAAAGTGAAATCACATTCAGTCATCCCCTTTTTGTCGTTCAACAAGCTAAGGTGCAGGACAAAAGTCGTGTGTTCATGTTCTCTAAGTTATATAAGAAGGAGACTTTAACAGGAAAGTTAACGTGGGTAGTATTCTCCTCTTTGGTTTCTGATTTCTTTCTCAAAGAAGAACAAAGGACAAAGTGGTTTACAGAGCAGATATGTGAATGCTGCAGACGACAGAAAAGCAATTTCACTTCCGTTGGACTTTAAATCTGACAGACGGGCTCGGTTTCTTACTGTGTAATCTGTCCCTGATCATTTGACTGCGGTCTGTTAGTCGGGATCCATTTTCAGCCATGGACACGTGATCAATCTGCAAAGACATCACTGTCCAGGTCAAGGAAACAAGCACAGGGTTGGTGCAATCAGTAGGCTCAACAAAAATAAAACCTCTCAAAAACAAACATGACCTCCTCCTCCCCTGAGGAGCTGAAACCAAACCAACACAATTCCCTCATCCGCCCACTCACCGAGTTTCTGTAGACATCCTCTACCAGCTGCCTGACGAGCCGATCGGCAGGAGGCAGCATTAAGGCCCTGTGGTGGAGCTCGCAGGTCTCCAGCACCGTCAGCAGGTCGGTCCGCCTGACCACCATGTCCTCGCACATGCTGAGCAGCAAAGCCTCCAGCTCTGTGCTCAGCTGGACCAGCTGGGAGGAAACAAGTGACAGCAAAATGGCTGATATACCACGAGCGCTAAGAACGATGTGAGAAATGAGTTGGAGCGAGAGATAAAAGAGGGAGGAAAAGTGTACCTGGTTTTGAGGTAGATGATAATCGACACACCAATAAAGAGTCATCCCCAGTGAGTACACAACCATCTGAGGAGAGCGGGAACAAGGAAAGGATTCAGACGTCAATTTCTGCTCAAACGGTACTAAAAGTGTGTTACTTTATGTGCGGAGCTCGTGCAATTAACTGATTGTTAGTGAAGTTACCTTCACTAACAATTAACTGATTGTTAGTGAAGTTACCTTCACACACAATTTTTGGACAATTAAAAATGGATATACATGGGATATTACTCCAATTCAAGGATACTGTAGGCTAAATAAAAATAACAAGTTATATGGATTTCTTCTTATTTCACGATGGTCTGGTGCTCAAATATTTTAACTTGTGTCCTAAAACAAAGCATCTTCTCCACGTGTCTCAGCAGTGACATTTAAAGAGAAAGATTGCAAGTTTTGAATCCTTCCCTATCCCATAAATAAATGTAATGACCCCTCAGATTTAACATACAAACCTTTTCGGCTGTAGTCCTGGTGGAGGCAGCCTGACCCTGCTGGACCTCAGGAGCTGTGAAGGAGGCCACGTCTTCGTATCGGGCACAGCTCTTGAAGGCCAGACTCCCATTGGCTGACAGCAGCACCGAGCCTGGGCTCAGCACACTGCACATGTTGCCCGAACCTGAACAGAAAGCACGGCACAAACCGGTAACATTTACTAACTCATAGAGTTTCTTTGTCTTTCTGCTGTGCTGTTTCGCAGTGTTTCAACCTCAGACTGTTTGGGTGCTCTTGAATGCTGCCTGAGAAGAGAGCCCCTGTGCACTGAGACAGGTGGATTTTGGAGGAAATGGGAACTGCATGAGCGGTTACCTTTTTTGGAAATGGCCAGTAAGGCCTCAGTGGTGGCGAGCAGCAGACACCAGACCTCATCCTCATCCAGATTGGAACCCCGGCCCTCCAACACTTCTGCCAGGGTCACAAATGTACCCATTCTGCTGGGACACACACACAACAGAGACACACACAAGGCTGCAGGTCGAAAGACTGTACTGCTGTATTACGTGTGGGAGATAGGTATGTGTTTCTGCACCGCACATGAGTTGAATTATTTATCTACATTAAAATGCAATCGTTTTTTTAATAAGTAATACCTGTTACCTGGATTAACACTGCTGTATACCACAACACGGTACATTACAGGAGGAGTTGTGTCATTTCTTACCAAACAGGCTGAACGTCCTCACGAGCTAGAATCCGGTCACTAAGTACGACTGACACAATTAACATTAAGATGTCGGAGGTCAGACTTTGAGACGGACAAGCTTAAGGTTGAGAGGATTTAGATCTAATTGGAAAACAATCCCAACAGTTTTTTTTTTTTGCTTTCATGCTCAGAATATAACAATCTCTACTGACCACATCTAGGTTTTATCTACTGACAAAAACAAGACCGAACACGCAGAATGGACAGCAACAGATCCCTTTTTGTTTTACCAGATTAATGACTAGAAGATTACAGGAAGCTGTAGTTTCAAAGCTTGAGACAAATCACATTACTTTGTGTGATTTTTGTTTTCTTTGTCAAATCAGTGTTTTTTTTTTTTGATTCAACTTGTACAGGTTCAGTCTGTTCTGTTGAGCCTGTGGGATCACTTATGGCACAACACAGGAGGAAGTCCGAACAGATTAACAAATCACTCAGAAGTATTAGCATGGTTCTCGGCAACCACGGTAACCTGCGAGTTGTCATTAATTGTTTTACAATCAGATTAACATCTGGATGTCGCCTCCTGAAAGGATCTCATTATAATCATCTTATTCCTCCTTATATTAGAGGATACCAGATAATGGAGGAATCTTTATCGTTTTCTTGTATTTTTTTGTTTTTTTATTCTTTTATTTACTGATGACTTTACTGCTTTCATTTATTTTAATGATTTAATGAATTACTTCATTAAATGTACTACTTTAACTGTGCTCTGATAATCCGGTGTACTTTTGATTCACCCAGACAACCTTGTCGGCAGCAATCGGTGATGGCCTTTCTTCACAGCAGACATTTTGACTCATCATAGCTGGAAAAGCACGTGTTGCTATTAACATTAACACTGTTTCTGTTCTCTGTAGGAATACGCACGTTGTGACGGTGTGACAGTGGGCCAGCGATGCACTATACCCTGAAAACCGAAGCAGCTAAATGGAATTCAGACACCATTCCTTTTGTGATTTACCTCAGTGCTTTTGCTACTGTGACATGTCTTGTGTGAAAAATGACCAGAATTTGAATCTAATCACACACAATCAACTGATTATGCCACTTTTGTGCGCGTGTTATTGACCAGGTTTCAGTGTTGCTTTCTGCTGTTTGTTGCCTTGATTTATCCTCGATAAATCTGGCAGAGGACTTCTCAATCCCATATGGGAATTGTGTTGTCACAGCAGCAGGATATATAAAGAATGCTGCACCTCATGCCCCATGCCACCACTGTGTGTGCAATCACACATTCTTAGGCCTACAGGTGGTTAGATGACTAAACGCTCTGACTAAAAAACATTACAACTTGGTTTTGACACATCACGCAGTGTACCTTATTTCATCCGGTATCTGGAAAGACTCTTCTTAAATTCCTTCAGACATCAGCCACTCTTGGACCTAATCCTTCTTCCTCTCATGCATCCCCTGCTGCCATTCCACCCACCGCTCCTTCGACCCGGTGCTGCTGTCTGTCATGGCAGCTCGTCACACACGGTCATTTCCTCACGACAGATCAATTGTCTCCATGCAAAGGACACATCAGCTCCGTAACGTCATTTGCTGACAACTAATGACGTGTTGTTTCTGCGTTCCGCTTCATTTTCAACTATTTTTAGACCGGGGGACGTAAGAACATAATTGGATTTGCAGGGCGAGGGAACGGCAGATGGGGCAGCAATGGACCAATCCATTGTGTTAATCTGATGTTTCAACCACTAGTGACACAGTAATTGTCCCACTTTCTATTAGCACCTTACATAGATTAAATTGATTAACTAATACAGCAGCCCTTGGAGAATAACCAGATTTCACGGCTTATGTAACCTTTCTTCTGTGATTGAAATGTTACTTAGTAAAAGAGAAAAAAATCTAATGTAGAAATACTCTATTCAAACATTTGATCTACATAAGTGAGGTATTAAATATCAAATGTGACAAAGTATCAATGGTAAAAGCACTATTCTGAAGGATATATAGGTTTGATGTAACAAGTAACACATTTGAATTCATAGGTGAGTTTCACTAGGTCAGGAGTATAAAGTCTTATGACATACAAACATTGCAGTACCGAGGGCCTCTGAGAGGTGCTGTTCATGCTCTCCTGCTGTTTAGTGTGCAAACTATTTGCAGTTTGATGGTATTTTCTTGTCCACATATCTGTAGGCCGCATAGTACACGCTGACCCACCACTTCATCGTCAGCCACATCATCAAGAGAGTAATTTAACTTACTCTATGTCCTTTACAGCCCGAGGAATAATAAACACATGTGACCTGTGGCAGAAGGTCAAAGTGATGCTTGCATGTGCAGCTAGATGTATAAATGTGACACCTATAATAATAGTTAAACACACTAACTCTAGTATGCCCATCGCAGTTGTTGAGGTTTAAAACAAAGGATGAGAGAGCCTGCAGGCCGCAGGTACTTTTCTGCTGCGACCTTCTTCCTGCGCACGCGCATCAGAAAAATGAGCTGGATCCGGTTCAAAATTAAAAACAATATTTAATGTACTACACAAAGTTCACTTACAAACTGAATTAACTATCAATAGTAATGTTCTCGAGAACAGAGACCACATGCACGCATCTCACTCACAGGTCTGAATTCAGGTTCTGAAAAACGAGAGCGGAAGTGGTCTGAGGAATGCTCTCTAGAACGTTGTCTTTTATATTCCCTGACCGTCGGAAAGTGTCCGAACTGTCCTAAAACGTCTGAATGGTCGATTAGTGATTGGCTCCATTTGAATCCTGTCCCCTCCCTGGATCGATCCTTTGTGGCAAACATCCTGAACTCCTCCTCTCTGACCTGCTGGTCAGTTGTCCATCCCTCTGCTGTCTGCTGCACCTCTAAAAATGCCTCACTCAAAATGATCTCTTTCTGACCCTCAAAACTATTCATACAGTGTTTTTAATACCTTTAGTGACTATGATTTAATACATTCAATGAGTTAATATACTGTAACATATAATATCCTCTATAAGTAAGAATATTGTAAACATATAATACATTCCATATGGAAACATATTGTGACTAACATATTTATTATTGTGACACTTCTACTCACCACTTGGGGTGTTATTTAATCCTACTAATAATGCGTTTCTAATACTGAAATTCTCCACAGTGGTCAATTCTCAAAAACTGGTATGGAAAATCATTAAAAGGACATCTTTGATTAAATTAAAATCTGATTTTAAATGATTGAGGTAGGCCTATGACGTTTCAGGCAGACACCATACTCCATTACAAGTATTTCCTTCTTAGATAATGCCGATAATGCATTGCAAATGATAATCGTTTCAAATGTTCTGAAAACTAACTAGTTACTACAGCAGCCAGATAAGCATAAATACAGTCTATGGCGTAGATAGTATAGTATGTAGTATAAATAAATATCTAAGTTGTATTTAGGCCAAGTACAGCACTTCAAGTACATAAAGTTGTAAATGTTAAAACCTCATGAAGGTAGAATTACTTAATTTACAATTGTAGGATACCTTATATACTGGCAACTGAATCTAGCAAATACAATTGGGCACTCCAAGTTGCAGGCTGCATTAGCCAACCTATAACTTATTCAAATGAATGCATATACAAATTGGAGTTCAGTCGACTTTATTTTGTAACATTAACTGTTAACAGCAAATAGAAAAAATATACACGGTATCTTAAATGTAATCCCTGGTACAAACTCGTTTATTAAACGTTTGCATTTATGTATTTATGGATGCATTTTTAATCCTTTTTTTTAAACCCACCAATATGTGTAAAATAGCAAAAATCTTCGCCGTTTGCCGTGTCATTACAAAACGTTGCGAAACCGTCGCTTCCGCTTTCCAGCGGCGGCTGCCGGGAACGCACAGGCGGTGTTGAACGTCCCCCTGGTCCTCATTGTGCAGCCGAGGGAACGTCGCAAGGTTTCGACGACGCTGCTATGAAATGGCAGAAACCGCTCGTGTCGCGGAAGATCAAAGATTAGGTTACGTTGAAGCTACACGGGTATTTTGCGATGACCCTGGCCTGCTAGTGTGAGGGGAAACGGGAGAGTATCCGGAGGAAATAAGAGATTAAAGAGCTGTTTTTCTCCGCCCGCCCCCCCCCCCCCCCCTCCCACCCCCCCCCCGCCCCCCCCCCCCCCCCCCCCC